GGACCCCCTTCTGCCCGGGGCGGAGGCGGCAGCGCTAAGAGCGGGCGAGGGACCTGCCCAAGGTCACACGGCTTTCTCGTGCCCGGGGGTCTCCGCCGGCCGGTTCCCCAAGGATGGGCTCTCGATCCAGCAGTGTGAGCCTGTTTCCTCCCCAGCAGACGGGGCGGAACAGGACGGCCTTCCTTTCCGGTGGAGGTAGTAAGTCCGATGAGAGAAGACCCAGGAAGGCCGGGCACACGGGCAGTGTGGGGTCCGCGGAGACGCCCCTCGTCCACCTCTGGCCGACCTGAGATCAGGCTCCCAGAACTAAGGCTAGGAAACACAGCCAGGAACCTGATCGTGGTGACTGTGTGCTCACCCCTCCCGCTTACGGCCCTAGAGTCGGGGTGGCTGTCGTTCACGGCCGGGAAACGCAGGCCCAGAGAGGTGAACCCCTTGCCGAGGTTCAGCAGGTGCAGTGTAGCAGCCGGGACGAGAACCAGTTTTCTCTCCGGCGCCGCCGTGTGGAAAGGACCAGAGCTGAGAATTACGGTCCCTCCCCCAGGGTATGCCAACGAAGTGGGGGAGGCTTTCCGCTCGCTGGTGCCCAGGGCTGTCGTGTGGCTGAGCTACGGCGTGTCCAGCTCCTACGTGTTGGCCGATGCCATTGACAAAGGCAAGAAGGCTGGAGAGGTGAGTGCTAGTTTACCTTCCCAACGCCCACTCGGGCGCGCCTTGGGTGTGGCGCTCTCTGCAGCCTTACATGGGCCAAAGTCCCCCTGGGACAGTCACGTCCCCACGGCCTGGCCCAGTGGACTCCATACTCTAGTTCGTGGGACGGTAGCCTCCCTTCCTGGAAGTGGCGGTCAGTACCCGACTCCTGCACGTGTTCGGTGCCCCTCCCTCAGCCTTGAAGGGTCCAGCCTGGAGCCCAAACCTGGGGCAGTTCCTTATGCCCCAACGTCCCCTCGCGTTGGCTACTTCCTCCTGCGGGGTCCGGTTTCGTGATCCTGTCCGCAGGGTTTCCTGCCTCTTCCTCCGCTGGGTCAAGTGTCTATGCTTCCCAGGTGCCAGGCCCCGAAGCCAGCCGCAGCAGCAGGGTGACGGTAGCCGTGGTGGACACCTTTGTGTGGCAGGCTCTGGCCTCCGTGGCCATTCCGGGCTTCACCATCAACCGTGTATGTGCTGCCTCTCTCCACGTCCTGGGCACCGCCACCCGCTGGCCCCTGGCCGTCCGCAAGTGGACGACCACCGCACTGGGGCTCCTGGCCATCCCCGTCATCATTCACCCCATCGACAGGTAGGTGCCCTCCTGGCCTCAGGAACCGCCCGCTCCACAGGTAGGGAGGCTCTAAGAGGAGTGTGGCGCGGGGTAGCGACAGCAAGGCAGGACTGGAACTCAGGGCTCCCGACACCAAAAGGAGAGTCTGTGACTTCGTCACATCATCCAGCAGGCACTTTGGCACTGCAGGAGGGAAAGCTGGAAGGTATATGGGACACAGGACAAGCGAACTTCCAGAAGGTCTGGTGTTACGCCGCAGCCAGAGGCGGGCGAGAACAGCTGCATCCCAGCGTGGTGGGTTGGGGGTACTGGTGACAGAAGCACAGCTCACACTGAGCAGTTAAGCGAAGCTGGATTACTTTCGGGCACGCTTAAATCTAGGAACACAAGTGATGTCACGGGGATCCGGGTCTCCCTTCCTGCTCTCCTGTCCGCCCTGAGGTGCTCCTTGGTTTGCACACTTTTCCCTTGAGGGAGTAGACATGGCGCCCAGCAGCTCCCAGCTTCCTTCCCACCACCTTACCAGTTCCTGTCAGAGGCTTTGTAACAGTGATAGCAAAAAGCCCAAAGAAGGCTGTTATTGGTTCATGGAGAGTAGATGTCCACCTCTGAGCCATTTTTCCTTTTCTGATTGGCCAGGCTTGAGTCATGTGCCTGCTCTTAGAACTAGAGATGGGTATTGATCCAGCTAGACCAAAATAGAGTGGTAGGAGGAGGCTTTTCCTGGGGAACGTGACTTCCCCCTGGGTCCTAGAAGCAGTCCTTTACCCTCTTATGCCTCAGTTTCCTCTACGGGATAAAGAAAAGATGGCTGTTATTCTAGATTTGAGTGTGGCTCTCCCAAGAGCCCGGAGTGGGAGGAGCATCATGAGGTAGATCTCCATCCGATGTCATTTGTGCCCTGTAGCCAGGAGTTCCTCGTCCTTCTCCTGTCCCTGGTCTCTTGCCTTCTCATTGCTCATAAGCACCCCAGCTACCTGCTCACCACTTGCACCCTCTTTACAGGTCGGTGGACTTCCTCCTGGACTCCAGCCTGCGCAAGCTCTACCCATCAGTGGGGAAGTCCAGCTCCTCCTGACTCTACCTGGTGCTTGGTCCTTGGGTTGGCACCCTTCTGCCAGGGAGTGTGGACGTCTGGCTTCCAGGAGTCCCTGGCCCTGGCGCCTGAGTGGATTTGAGCTGGACAGAACTTAGAGATAAAGATCTCAAGGAGCAGTAGTTGTATTTGGGCCTGACGGCATCAACTTCCATAGAATCTATCGTACTGAGAGCAGAGTGGACCTGGCTGGGTCTGCCTCTGTCTTTTGATGACAAAGTTAATCCTCCCGTGGAGGATAAGGAGCCTGAGGCCAAGGGAGGGCAAGGAATATGCCCAGGATCACTTGGCAAGCTGGATACCAGGATGCCCAGCTACTCAGCTGAGTCACTTCATGGCAGCATGGCTGGATGACCGCAGATACTCAGGGAGAAACATAGGAGTATAGCAGCTGGAAACCTCAGGACAGATTCTCAAGCCAGCCCAACCCTGGTGCACAGGCTGCTGGAGTCTGGCTTAAAGCAGGACAGCTCTGAGCCAGGTGCTGGCCAAGCCAATAAACCCCTAAGAAGTTGAGTTTTCTTCTTCTCTGTGGGGGGAGGGACAGGGATGTGGTGACGGGAGCAGGGATTCTCTTGGAGGACGTAAACTGCAAGAGGGGAGGGCTTCCTGGGCCTGCAAGAACAGGTAAGGGAAAGCAAGGAAGAGCATCCCAAGGAGGGACCAGTGTCTGAGCAGGTCCAGTCAGGAGAAACATCAGATCCAAGGAACCACAACGGACAGAAATTCTGAAATGAGGGTTTGGGTGGGGAGTTGAGAAGGGTGTCATGGAAGGGGCAGTAGGGTGTCACCCAGATCACCAACTGCCCCAGGAAAGATTCTAGACTGTGTTGGACTGGTTAAGAAGTGGTTGGCCAGATAGCAAAGCTTGGAGAAGGATGTCTTAGTCTGTTTTCTGTTGCTATCACAAAAGACTTGAGACTGGATATTTTATTATGAATAAAGGTTTATGTGGGCTCATGGTCCTGGAGGCTGGGAAGTCCAAGAGCTTGGCACCAGCATCTTCGCAGCTTCAGGCGAGGACCTTATGTGGAGTCGGGTGTGTGCAGAGGCCAGAAAAGGGGGCTCCATTCACAAGGGTTCTGCCGCCGTGACCCAACCACCTCCCATAGGCCCCACCTCCCACGCACGGCATTGAGGAGTTAAGTTCCAATACTAGAATTTGGGGGACACCCTCAAACCATAGCAAGGGACAACCGGGTGGCTGCTGCCATCATCCGGGCCTGAGGGACAGATGGGAGATGTGGTGGCAGGACACAGAAATGAAGGACAGGAATGAGCCGGGGGAAGCCTGGAGGGTCTGAGCCCAAGCATCCAGCCAAAGACGTGGGAAGAAATCTGGAGGGAGGGCTGCAGCCGGGCAGGGTCACAGCCAAAACCACCTTGGTCTCCTCAGCGGGTTGCTCTGGGGGAAGGAAGAGAAGACCAGGCCCGAGTCTGTAGGCTTTGAGGTCCGCCAGGTCCCTTGGGCTCTCTGATCCTTAGGATGTGGGTGTGGAACAGAGGGAGGGCGCCACATCTACCAGGACAGTGGGTGCTGATAAACGTTGAGCCACCGGCTTCCTTGGGCAGGGGAATCCGACTTGTCGAGGCCCATGGCGTAATTGCTCCTGACAAGGCAAAGCCATTGAACCTACCTGGGACAGGTGACTCCCAGCAGACATGGTACATTGGGGCCCCCGCGTTCGAGGGGTGCTTTGAAGGATGCTTCAAATTGCAGATGGTGCCAAACCCTACATATACTGTGTTCTATATGTTCATGTGATTAAGTTTGATTTATAGATTCTTTTTGGTACCGGGGATCGAACCCGGGTCCTTGCGCTAGCAAGGCAGGCGGCGGCACCACTGAGCTACATCCCTGGCCCGAGTTTAATTTACATTAGGCATAGTAAGAGATTAACAACTAATAACAATAATGAACCAGAACAATTATAAAAATATACATACTGTGATTAAATTTATTTAAAACTATGAATTGGCTGGAATGTAACTCAGTGAAGGTTTTGTGTTCAATTCTTATTCCTAGTACCAAAAACAAAACAAAACACTCCCCCATCCCAAAAACAAAGAAACACCACCACCACATAGCTTTAGAACCAGGCATGGTAGCTCACGCCTGTAATCCAGGCTCTGGGAGGCTGAGGCGGGAGGATCACAAGTTCCAACCTGGGCAGCTTGGTGTCATAGCAAGACCCTGTCTCCAACTTTAAAAAATGAGAAGAGAGATGGTGCTTACTGTGAAGGCCCTGTGTTCAATCTCCTTTACCACCACCACCAATAATAATAAAGTGAATTGGTTACTTCTGGAATTTTCTGTTAAATATTTGTGGGCCGTAGTTGACCATGGATAACTAAAACTGTGGATGTGGGTTGGTTGCTATAGATATAAATAACTTCAAGAGTATACATGGTAGTAAAGTGTAGCCAGGTAATTAGGAAGCAGCATTTGAATATTTACTGGTTTTTGTTTTTGTTTTTGTTTTGTTAGTGGGGATCGAACTTGGAACCTTGCGCTTTTTTCTTTTTCTTTTTCTTTCTTTCTTTTTTTTTTTTTTTTTTGAGACAGGGTCTCACTATGTAGTTGAGACTGACCTGGAACTCACTGTGTAGCCCAGGCTGGTTTCGAACTCACAGCGATCCTCCTGACTCAGCCTCCCGAGTGTTGGGATTACAGGTGAGCGCCACCATGCCTGGCTTTTGGTTGTTAAATGAGTAATGTCTCCTTAAAACAAAGTTTATATCCTTTTTTTTTTTTTTTTTCCTGAAACAGGGTTTTGTTCTGTAACTCTTGCTGGCCTTGAACTCACTATGTCGCCCAGTCTGGCCTTGAACTTGCAGCAATTCTGCCTCAGCCTCCAGGATGCTGGGATTACAGGCGTGTGCCGTGCCCAGCCCTCATTTCTTTCTTTCTTTCTTTTTTTTGGTAAGTTTATTGGCACTTTTTAGGCACACACATTCATCTTCAGGATCTTGTACCTTTGCATGCTGTATCTTGGCTCTCATTGTTTGCCCATCCCCCTGCCCTCCCCAGCCCTCATTTCTTTCCGTTAATGTTTAACTTTCGATAATGGCTGTGTTTGACAGCAGCTCACAAAATCCCGGCAAGCTGACGCTGACAGTTGGCTCTGGCCCCTGCCAGTTTGTCCACATGCCGCTCACCCACAGGCAAGAGGATGTGCAAGTAAATCAAACGCAATCTATGGTCAGTCACGGTGGTGCACAGCTGTAACCCTGGCTACGTGGGAAGCTGAGGCAGGAGGATCGCAAGTTCAAAGCAAGTTTGAAGCCTGGGCTTCCGTTCATACGGAGCACCAATAAATTAAAGAAAGAGAGGTTTATTTTAGCTCGTGCTTTTTAGAGGTTTCAGTCCATAGCCAGCTGGCTTCAGGGCAGAAGCAGCGTGAGGTACGGCCTGCTGAGGAGGACATCAGCTCACGTCATGGCCACCAGGAAGAGATGGCAGAAGGAGGAGCCCTCCCAGGTCACAACCCCAGTGCGCCCTCTCTTCTGACCAGACCCTAACATCCTGTTTCCCTGTAACAGAGTCCCCACAGCTCTATCGCCTTTCGAAAGCCCTGCCGACCCATGTTCACAGCAGCACAATTCATGATAGCTAAATCTCAGAAGAGGCACATGTGTCCATCAACAGATGACTGGATAAATAAAGTGTGGTATTTATATACAAAGAAGCACTCCTGCCATAAAGAAGGGGAAACGTAGGTCATCTGCAGGAAAGGGGATGCACCTTGTGAACGGAGATGTTAAGGGAAATAAATCAGACACACGCTTAAAATGGTGCACGGCTTCACCGGCCGCAGAGGAGAGCTTGAGAGCTGCAGAGTCTTAACAGGGACCGTGGGGCACCCTGTGAGGCCACCGAAATAGGAAACCCGTCATACAAGATCCCAACGATAAATGTAACTGCATTGTTTGCTTCTAATGTACCAATAAACTTCATGGGGGGAAAAAAAGAAACCAGTCAGTTGCAGTTTGAGGGTTCCAACAGTGACGATTACTTTATTTCTCCAACTGTACTTTTTTTTTTTTTGGTACAGGGGATTGAACTCGGGTCCTTGCGTTTGCAAGGCAGGCCACTGAACTGCTGAGCTACATCCCCAGCCCTGCTGCAATTGTGCTTTTAAACAAAAAATCCAGAACAACACCAAAAGAGTTAAAGCAAGACAACCCATTTAACTACGAGAAAAACCTCTTAAAAAAAAAAAAAAAAAAAGAATGGCTTTAGATGACAAGATGTTCCAGAGAAGGTTAGAAACTGCTCTGGGTTTATCAGTGAAGGACCGTGCAACAGTCTCCAACGGTGTGCAGAAGGCTCAAGATAAAACAGCATCCGGGGCTGGGGATTTAGCTCAGTGGTTCTGCCTCCAGCCTTGCAAATTCAAGGACCTGAGTTCGAACCCCGGTACCAAAAACAAAAACAAACCAGCGTCTGGAGGCAGCAGCAATGACAGCAGCCCGCTGGGCAGAGAATGGCCATTAAGTCCCCGAGTCGGAGTCTCTGCCTTGGCTCATCCAGAAGGGCACGGGTTAAACCTCTGCATCCGAATGCAATGCCGCTAGTAGCCGGGTGTGGTGGCAAACAAACGTTTGATTGAGAGAATCAGCTTTGCAGGTGTGTTTCTATTGATTTGTATTTAGCGTCGAGGAGGGTGTTGTAGTATAGGGGAATCCCTGAACACCTCGTGGAAATGACCTTTATCCATTTGAAGGTTATGCTCTCTGAAAAGCTCTTCAGGACTTTGGGAGAGGGCTCATTTCATTTTTTCCGAAGAGCACACTGTATTTTCTTGTAGCTCAGAGTCATTGTCATGAAGTGTGACAGACTGACGTGAAAGAAGGCCGTATCTTCTAGTGGTGTGATGTTCCTTCCTAACTCTATGACCACGGTCATTTCTTTCAGGAGACGTTTTTTGGGGGGTACCAGAGTTTGAACTCGAGTCTTTGTGCTTGCAAGGCAGGTGTTGGAACCATTGAATTAAATCCCTGGCCCTCGGGAGGCATTTTAAAAATCCTATGAGCTATTTAAGCTACATTGTCAGTTTTGTTGCAAGGATGTTTTGTATTTTATCCAAATCTTTTAGTAAGAATTTAAACTATTTTATATATTTCAATGGTTACTGTACTATGGAATGTGTACCCTGTTTGGAAATGCATGGTTATGTATAGCAAACAGAATTTAATGACAGTTTACAAATTCTTCACTGTCAAAAATCTTAAATAGGGCCGGGGATTTATTTAGCTCAGCGGTTCTGCCGCCTTCCTCGAAAGCGCAAGGTCCTGAGTTCGAGCCCTGGTACCAAAAAAAAAAAAAAAAAAAAAAAAACATCCTAAATAAAAGTGAGAAAGTTTTCAAATGAAAAAAAAAAATATTGCATGGCTTCTCTTATACGCGAAACCCAAAATATAAAGAGCAAAAGAAAAGGTGGATAATAGAAAGCAGGGAGATGGATCTTTTGCAAAAGGGAGGGGATCTCGAGATGGGGGAAAGGAGAGGGAGAGGGTGGAAGGGGTTTAGAAGAATCCGGTGCGTTGAGAAATGTTCCAACTCCCCACAAGGAGTGTGGTCATCATGCACTGCACATATGTACTAAAACACAAAATTGAGGAGGGCCTGCCCGTGAGCTCCTGAGGCTGTGGGAGGGGGTGCACCTTGATACAAACCCTAATAGCAACTTAGCAAGACTCTGTCTCAAAATAAAAGGGGCTGGAGATGTAGCTCTGGTAGGTAGAGCACTCGGATGAGGTCCTGGGTGAAATTTAGTACCAGGAAAATAAAAAGACAACTTCTGGCCCAGGCGGCCCCCTCAATCATTAAGGGACAGAGCAAGAGAGGCCAGGATTCTGCCGTCCCCCAGGCAGCCGCGGATCGGAGGACAGTTCGGACCTGTCACCGTTCTGCTGTCTGAATCCAGTTGGCCCACACAGGCCCCGTCCCTCACTTCCGGCCTCATTCTCAGCCTTGCCTTAGGTCGTGAGAGCCAAAGTCCCGAGGGAACGAATCGATCTTCATTGGAAATCTCCGGTGGTAAATCCAGGGGCCTCCTCAGGCCCTGCTGGCCCCCAAGCCAGGGAAGTGGGTGACAACGCAGACATCGACACCGTCACGAACAGGGTCCCTGGTGTCAGCAGCGTTGGTGAGCTGAGAATAAAAGCCCCTGGTGTGAAAGACAGAAGCTAATTTAGAGCCTGGAAAGACAGACAGTGGGACAGCAGGGACAGGGAGGGGTCCAGGTGATGGTTCCCACTCTGTGTTGTTCACGAGGGAGAGGACACGGGGCGCAGTTCGCTCTCCGTACCCACAGATTCCAAGCCTGCGGACTCAACCAAGCCCAGATGGAAAATACTTGGGAAAAATATCACATCTGTACTGAACACATACAGGCTTTTTTTTTCCTGTAATCATTCCCTGGACAATACAGTATGACAACTATTTATGTAGCATTTACGGGTTGACAGGTATTATAAACCATCTAGAGATGATTTAAAGGACCGAGGAGGGCGCATATGGGTTCTATGCAAACACTATGGCATTTTACACAAGGCATTTGAATGTCTGCCGATT